CGTCCTCGCTGCTGCGCTTGGACACGACACGACAACAGAATGATCCGCGCCAGGTGGGTCGCGGCGTTTATGTGCGCGGTGGCACGGAGTCGCCAAAAATAAAGTAATTAATTAATAACGATTTTGACTTCCGTTTATTCGGGACCCGGGGTCCCGCCATAAGATTCAACTGGTCAACAAGAAACATTTTAGAAAACGCAATTCTTAGCAGGCCCCATGGCGTAAAGTGCAATTTCTAGCTCTTATTATCCACCATCTCTTAGGGCCTCTATTTATATGTTGTGAAGAAGGACTATCGCCTAAAACGTCACCAATTTTTTTTCATTTTAAGGCCACGGTGTTGACTTTATCGCACACGCATGGTGACAAGCAAAGCACCTTCCCACGCTTTGCAAAAAAACGTTATTGTCATGTACAGTCCTCCGTTGATCCATAGGTGGATGAAGGCTTCTCCCATTGCCGTGTCGATCATTCGGTTATTTGACCGTACTTCACCATGCTGGTCAATGCAGGTTTATGAAAGTGGGGGGGGGGGGGGGGGTGGAAGAGGTCCGGGACTGATTTATAAAAGAACTGCTTTTTGTGTTTCATTTGTAGTTCTTCCCCCGCAACCTTCGACTAGCTTGGTTGGCTTTGTACGGTGCGAAAAAAGTTCAACATCCATACATATCAAACACCACTGGTGGTTAGCCATGGTCAAGGCAATTGAACGCAGGCCAATGGGTTTATAGCGGAGCATGCTAACCACTACACAACTAAGAGGGGACCCAAGAAAGATTTGCGTGTTCAGAATAAAGCAGGCTAGACAGACTTAAAACCACAAGTCGACCGATCCCGTGAGGTTGATGACCAGTCAACGTGGAGGGAGATCAAAACCAGAGCCACCACCACGGTGCCTCAACAATCCCGTCAAATCGGCCGGTCACGCGAGATGGATGGAAAGATGGATGGGGACAGGCCTGGATCCACCACGATAACGTGGAATAACATTTCCTACAGTCTCAACCCAGGAATGAATTCTCAGCCGAGTCTGTCCGGGGTCAGTAACCCGTGAAATATTTCTGCACAGGGCCCACAACCTCCAGTATACCGTTCTCGCTTCGGCTGTGTGCTACTTAAGTCACGTGCCACCTACTCCGGTCCATCAGCGACCCAGGCAATATTCAGCGCAAAATTAATCCCCGTCTCAACCAATTGCTTTCGTCTATTTCTGGTCTCAAGGGGCACTGTGCAACACCAGTGAATCAAGTACGAAAGTGCCGATACCAATCGCCACCCAAGGTGGCAAACGGCCAAACGTAACTTAATTTCGTGAAGGCCCTCTCCGCTTCCTGCGGCTTACGTAACTCGCAGCATCGTGCAACAGAAGAAGCGCTAAAGCCCAAGCGACACAATGGCACTGCTGTGCTCTGCCTGGCCAAGCGAAGCCAAGCAATGTGCGTTGGGCATCTGCCCCCACCCCGTATGCAGTGAATCAGCGCAGTTCTGTTTCACTGTTGCCACTGTTGTTACCCCCAAGCAGCAGAATTGCATTTTAAAAAAGCACATTAAGTGTAAATCTCCCTTAACTGACACGGATTTAGGCAGGAGCGGAGGCACTTTTGCAACCGGGTTGTTCAATGCGACAGACCTCGGGCCTTCCCGCACCGAGCTGCTGTAGTGTACGATGTGGCGATGCTTTACAAAACAAAAACCTCCCTGATACCAACTTGTTCGGATGTCTTGCTACACCGTTACGTGCGCTCATCAAACAGAATAAGAATATGTATTTACACTAGAGGAATCCGACGAGCTATAAAGCTATTTTTCACAGGTGTCCAATCGGGGCAGATAAGAACGTGACAACAACAAACAGTACACAAAACACGATAAGAGTGCAAAGTACAATAAAGTAAACAAATTACCCACACACATACAAATACAACACTGAACCATCCCCATCCTACCAGGCGAAGCCCACTGAGGAATTCAATAAATGTTCAAAAGCGACCTGGCCACAAATGATAGCTCAACAAAGTGGCTTATCAATTGGATATTTATATCAGCAAAATAACCTAAATAGTCTGAACGCATGTTTCTAAATGTGGAGGGAAAGACTGGAGGACCCGAATAAAAAAATCCACGCGACCACGGGGATAACATGCAAACTCCAAATATACAAGTGCCAGGGTCTGGATCGAACCCCTGGCCTCCTGTATACCAGGAGAGGTAGTTGACATCTCACCACCATGGAGCTCCTTAAATAAATAAATAATACGGGTTCAAAGTGCATCATCAATTCCCAAGCTTGGGAAATGCAGCAAACAACAGCAAAAACAGTCCCAGACCACACCAGGACAACAGACAGTCCCTTAATAAAGATTTGCGTTAAAGTTGAACTCTATACATTATGGATTACATTTACACATCATATTGGCAAATGTCGCCGTTTCCTACACTAATCATTTTCTGCTTCAGAATATTTTTCGAAGGAAGATTTATGATGTCACGCGAGGCATCGTTGCTCAGCCCTCCACCCTCCCCTTCTCCTATTGGTCTGCTCAATTCCTCCTTTCGGGCTATTCTTCTCTCCAAAAAACCAAGCTGTTTGGGCGATCCCCCTTTCTACGGTCTGTCAATGTCACTGCCCTCGAGAGGAAAGCAATATTCAACGGGGGGCATTTCGGGCGAAGGCCCTTCTGTTACGAAGAAGGACCACTGCCAAAACCATCTCCGTTTATAAAATCCATCCTCTTCTACATTACAGGCAAAATTCTGAGCAGTGGCCCTTCTCCCCCCTAAACCTTGCAGGGAATTATTCAAAGCTTCCTCAATAACAAGATGCACCGTCAACTGGCAATACAGCGGACTGTGACAACTCCCACAACAGCCGACTGCACAATGCCCAGACAATTGGCGGTCGCTTCCCTTTGCGCCGCTTCTGGAAAGTGACACCGGCCTAGTTCGGCGCATTAAAACAGGCGAAAGGGGCAGCCGAACAGGGGGCCCCCCGTTGCCTTGTGGAAGCCAGAATGTCAAGCTGCGGCTAACGGAATACTCACAGATCCCGAAAACCTCAGACCACACTGGAACAGTGGGACGCTTTCTTTCAAAGCAGGGTCCATTTCGAGGCGGGGGACACAAGTCTCCAATGTAAGCAGAGTGCGTTTCTGCGACTGCTGCTGCTGCATATAAAATGCACTGCCAAGAAACGTTTTGGCCGAGGCTCTCAAATGATGCCTACTCACACGAACCTAGTTATAGTTCTAACTGCACAGGAACATGTACAGCCCTTTGTTATCCATTGCTACATGAAGGTAAACTCACCCTGCTCCCCCCTCCCCCCTCCCAAATACTGTACAGATGATGGGTGTTGTTTTACTTTACTATACTTCACCGCACTGGTCAGGACCGGTTGCAATATCACTCTCCACTCCCCCCTGGCTGGGATCGATCTCAGTGTCGCCAGGCTTACGAACATAAACTATTACAACCATGACACAATTTTAAATAACAATTAAAAACAAAGTCAAGCTGAAGGGCGTATCTGCTCAAATGAGCATACAGTGCCAATCTCCATTTAAACCAGCAGCAGAAATTCCATGTTCCCAAGATAGGAGCCAGATTATTCACAAAGCACAGCCACTGTTGACTTTCTATAAAGTGGTACTGGTTTTATCAACCAAAGAAGGATGATGGGCCAAGTCGACCCCTGACTGCCATTTCAATGGGCAAACTTCTCTTTGCAAGTCTGAACACTGCACTTGGGCAGAAAAAAGGTAACAAAATTAAATAATTTGTTGCAGATTAAAACAATTGTATAGCTTAGTACACGTGGGATACATGTGGGAGTTAAGACAATGAAACGACAGGCCTTCATTTTGGAAACGTGTCAGAAAAAATGTCCTCCGTGTCTGCTGAGGTTAAACACACAATTTAAGAAAAAAGATTACACGTCTCAAAGACAATCCCGCTGGGAGAGACACTGATAAGTTTGCACGGAAAAAAATTATTCTGACAGCGCAGATTTGGACTGGGTGCAGAAACTATTGGATTTATCATGACACCAAGTGTCCGCACGTCTGGACAAACGCTGCTCTCATCTGGCCGTGTTAACTTGAGAATAACCACTACGACCAGAACAACTTCAAATAAACCACAGGGATGATTACAGTTTGGACTATATTCAAAGTTCAACAATGGAAACATTGTTTCTGATTAATTTGCCTCAATTTTCTCCCCCCCTGCCCCATTAGTGATGCATATGGTGTCCAAACTATAATGTAAAAAAACATTATTTACTGTGTGAAACCATTAGCCAATGACTTATAGCTACAAACGCTCGCTTAAGAAAACATTATGGATTAATAAACACAGGCACGCTCATAAATAAATCACACCCCGACATGTATGGTAATTCCTCGTTTAACGCCGAAGTAGATGCGTTCCTGAAAAGTGCCGCATGGAGTGAAAGCCGCGTTAAGCGAGGAATCGCTGTACTGTACCGAACCACATTTGCACTCTAAAATCAGCCTGCAGTCATTCCATGGAAGGAACTGGGATGAGGGTAGGCCACAAGTACGGTATCATTCCACGCGCTGTATTACACCGCTCAACCGCGCAGCTCAAGAAAGCAGTAGTCCGTCGTCGGCAGAAACGGCGTTATAACGGTGCGCGCGCATTCCTTGTTGTGTGAAAAGCGTTCCCTCGCAGAACACCGCCACGCGTTAATCCAGGACTTGCCTGTACAACTCACACCGGTAGCAAGTAGGCCATTTCCTGTTTTCTATGATTTTAGAAGCAAATTCACCTGGATCAATGATGAGTGGGTGGGGGGGTCACCGTGCGTCCTGTCCAAGTCTAAATCGTCTTTCTAAGCAGAGCACTGCCAACAGCAGCGTTTGTTTTTCTTGAAAGTGAAACTGTACGGCACGCTAATGTCCACCACGCAGTCGTTTCGCTTGCCGCGCCACGGTAAACTGATGTTCCGACAAAGCCAGAATAAATCATTAAAACCTTACCTCGACGATCGCTGGTGGTGGCGGCGGATCTTTAATGACCTAGAAGAAAAATGAAGAGTTTAGAAATATCGCTACATGGCTGTTTAGAGCACGATCTCCACAAATGACTCGGTTAAACAAACACGACGGCTGAATGACCACCGTCGCTGCCAAAACGAATTTACAAAAACAAACGGCACAAGCCGCAGCATTTGGCAGGCAAAACGTCATTAATCTTGCGCGATAGCTCAGCGCCTTCTGACCAACGTATACCGACGGCGAGACACAATCGGACAAGGAGTTTAGCCATGCGGCCGTACAGAGGAGAAAACGATGCATTCGATAAAAACAGGCTGCGAAGGCAATCGGCGCGAGCCATTTCCTGCCAGCTATTTTATGTTCACCAGAGTCTCCTGCAGCAGTGAGAACAAATCCAGACACGGGTTGAGCCCGAGTTATTGCTATGTCCGCAAGGCTCAATAGGTGTTACTCCTGGGAGCTGCTCTATATATATTGCAGCTGTGTTTATAAACACACTGCAGGATAAACAACCACGCTGCACGTACAGTGAAGGCATTGGCCCAGTTCTGCAATGACTTACTGCTGGTGGATGGGGCCTCCATGGGAAAGAGCTCTAGACAGCCCATCCGTGAGGGTATTTTGGCTTAGTTTTCACCTCTTCCAAGCTGACCAAAAAGCACTGAAGAATCAAAATCCTTGTTTATTATCACAGGAGGAATCCGATGAGCTATAAAGCTCCTTTTCACAGATGTCCGGCAGGTGCACGGGGTCAGAAAGTTGCAACAAAACTTGGGGGGGAACCTACACTCTACTCTACCACATGCGACCCGCCGATCGTCCAATTGTGCGATGCATGCACTTAAACATCGGGGTGGAAAGAGGCGGTTGGTGGGGGAGCCATTGCGAGTGCAGGGTGCAAGCCGTTACGCAACGGCACCATAGCTTGTCAATCAATCAAGTGCGGCGCTATACCGGCAATACCACCTGGGCTGGACTATGCGATAACAAGGGAACAGAGCGGGAGGTGGCCGGTTTCAGGGGTTTAGCAGCACCCAGCGGTAACCTCAAAAGGGGCAAAACGGTGAAAATAAGTAAAGAAAAAGGGAGCAGAACGGACGGGGAAGGGATAATGCAGAAATTGTCAGCGGACCCAAAAACAGCACAGGACGGACGAAAGTGGAGAGCGTTAACAGCAAAGCCGTTACTATAATCTCCAGATTGGGGGGTGCATCTTATCATCCAGTGTGTAGCCTTTATTGCCATAAGGGCCACTTCCACCATTACACGTGTGATTGCATTAACTTCACCGGTGATGGGTACAGTCAACGACTTTATTGCCACCACACGGCCACTTCTACCATAACTGCACTCTCTCATACCTGTCAAACCATAAAGTTTACCCCGTATTCTTGTACAGGGAAATTGAGTTGAGGTCCATACAGCGTACGGAAAAAAAATGGTGTTTTTGTTTGTGTTTCTCCCTCGTGATGGCACTTTGTAGGATAAACGTTGCAATTTATCAGGAGCACGGGGTGACCAATAAGGTCTGAATTGGTCTGTAATAAGGTAGGGCACTGATAAGGGGTTGAGAGGTATGCTCTCTGCGTAATGAGACGCACTTTTTTCCCAATGTTCACTCCATATATTTTATGTTTTACTGCCTTATTTTCTGCTTTTCCAGGGTTTATTTATATTGGCGTTATTTTTATTATTTTCCTTTAAAAATTAACACAAACTTTGGGTTAATAAAATAAATAGACAATGTGTCATTTCACATATGTCTCTCTCCACGTAAGAAATATATAAAAGTATTGTAGTTACACATCCCTTCGGCTGCATGGCCATCTGGGAGCGAATTTTATTGCCATTGCTTTAATGCAGGTAAGCCTTCCGGACCGGTTTAAACACTCATCGTCTAATCAGCAGTCAGGCTTGCTTAAACCAATAACTGGTAAACTGCCCAACGCCCATGGGCCAATGGCGCTTACAGTGTCAGGGGAGGCGGCAGCGGGGGTGGGTTGGGGGTCTTGTATTCCAGAGAATATGAACATTAAACAACGATCTTCTTGTTCTTTCGGTAAAGTCACGTAGAAGGGAAATAATAATAAAACATAATAAAATAATTCTCATGACGTTTCGGCAACAACGCAAGCAGCCGTCCTCAGGTGAAGACCAGGTCTGTCGGGGAGACAGACCAATTCAGACCTTATTGTCTCCCCGACAGACCTGGTCTTCACCTGAGGACGGCTGCTTGCGTTGTGGCCGAAACGTCGTGAGAATTATTTTATTATGTTTTATTTTTATTATTTTATTATTTCCCTTCTACGTGACTTTACCGAAAGAACAAGAAGATGAATCCCAGCAGTCACGAAAGCTTTAAATCGAGAAATTAAACAACGAGTTTATAAAACATCTCATCAGCGGACCGCGATTCTTACCAAGGTGCAGCACAGTGGCCAAAACCACCAGAAGATGGCCAGGGCCAGCAAGAGAAAGATGACGAGCAAGGCGATCGCCAGGATGGTTCCGTCCGACTGCGGGAATTGAGAAAACGGTTATCAGCTTTGAATGCCAGACACGCAGCGACGCATCACTCGATTAAAACCATTTAGAGACGCCTGTATATTTGGAGTTTGCATGTTGTCCCCGTGGCGATGTGGATTTTTCTCCAGTTCCTCCGGCTTTTCCCTCCACATTTATAAATGTGCGTTTAGAAGATTTGACTGCGATAAATTTCCACATAAGCCACTTTGTTGACCAATAATTTGTGGCCATGTGACTTTGAAAAAGAGCTATATAGCTCAGCGGGCTTTACCTGGTAAACCAAAAAATTGTTTAGTTTAATTTATTACGCTCACAAATGCACATACGCGAAATTGTGCATGTGATAATCGTAATTGTAAAATGCGTGTACATTTACTGAAAATCAGTAAAGCTCAAACATAATTCTGGCGAGATCAGCTCTTAGGAATCTGAAGGCAAAACCAGCAATGTTATTCTAAGCGGTGGCAAAGCAGTTAGTAAGCTACACTATTTCAGTTAATTTGGAATAACCCTGTGAGCCATTCGGCTCTTGATTTGGGTGCAACCACAACAAACAATAAAATTACAAGATACATTTAAAATTTACTGTTACGCAAATTGAAACATCCCCTACAAAAACAATAACACCTTCCAGAAAAAGCACCATTTGTTTACGCTGCGTACTAAATTGTGCAAAAAAATCCCATTTTGATGTTAGATCACAATAACAATCATAATTCAATTTAGATTAAAATGTTAAGTCTAACTCTATACTACTTTTAAAAAATCGGGCTAAACTACATCTTTCTAGAAATTACTAAAATAATGCTATAAAAACAATGTAACAGTGATAATTGTTTTTTTACCCTTCTATCTGGCAACAAAACTGACACCTTTTTACAAGGAGTTATGTTTGCATAGACCGCAATACCTGCAGTTATAATACAAACAAAAGAACATAACTCTGATAATGTGCACTGTCCTTGAAGTTGATTGGTCCACACCCGAGACAGCTTTCCATAGAGCCTAGTCTCACATGGGTTGGACCAGATGACTCCTTGTAAAAAGGTGTCAGTTTTGTTGCCAGATGGAAGGGTAAAAAAACAATTATCATATTTTTACTGGCAAATGAGGTTCCCATAGAATGTAACAGTGATCGTAAGAAATGTGATTGAAAGTTAACAATAGCGACATACATGACATATATTACTAAACCTAGCATCCTTCGCGAGCTGCATGAGTCAATCCATAATCCATGTACCCAGTGACGCGAGTTACAATCCCAGCCACGGCCACATCAGCAGAGACGGATATCTGAAATCGGACCTAGGCCCCTCCCACCTTCATAAGCCAGCAATTACCAGAGTGGTGAAGTATGGTCAAACAACCCTCATGAACGATATGGTGCAGGGAGGCATTCCTCCGGCAGTCGCTGAAAAACGGCCATCAATTATGTTTTTTTGCGTGTTATAATTTATTAATAATATCAAACGTTTGGAGGCAAAACATCTGACGGGAGGCTACGGACACAATTTCACACAGTCCTGGACAAAGAAAGCAATGGTGGGAAGAAGGGGACACAAAGGGAGGCTGACTGAACCACACTGGGGGTGATCCAATGTCTGAACTGTGGCATTCATACAGATATTCAGATGTGCCTCAACCCAGCCATACCAGTTACGACACGCTGCCGCCGTTTATTACCGAGAATAGACCTTTGTGTAGTCTCCACACCACTGTGTAGTGTGCACATATAAAGCCTTGTTGTCACGGTTGAATATGTGCCTCTCCGTGTTATTTGGTTATTTGACCATACTTCACCGAGCTGGTCGGCTCGGGTTTGTAAAGGCGGCGAACAAACACATTGGAGCATAGTACAGTGTTGCAATGGAATTTGCAGAACTGCCCTGTGCTGCTCACAAGGTAATTCCACAGCTTATAACACCTGGCAAGCATGGTGGTCTCCCATCCAAATACTATTCGGGTTCAGCTCTGCTTCGCTTCGGAGATCGGGTGCATTTCGGGTGATTTGGTCAAAAAACACACAATCGTTATAAAAGGCAGTACATTTCTATTTTTGAAACGACATTATTTTGTCGAATTGGCCATACATCCCAATGCAGGACTGATGTAAAGGGAGCTTTTGAGGCTCAAGGAGGCCTTCCTGGGTAAATAACTTGAGCTCATTATTCTTATTTAGATTCACACAGAGTGGGAAAAAAAAACAATCCAAGTCTATTATCATTATAAAAAAATCATGATACTTTTATGCTAAATCTAGAAATAGAATAAACCAACTATTCATTAATTCACGACCAGAGCAGTTTAAAGCTTTGCCAAACAATAAATCTTTAAAACGCTTAAGAATGCTTAATATTTCTTTGTAAAATTCTACATTCAGGTCATGTATAAATCAAACAACAAGAGTGCTATTGTAAAATGCTGCACATTCCCCCGCAACAATATATTTTTTTCTACTTTACGGAGCAAAAATAAATAAACGTAAAAAAAAATAGAACTTGAGTCAAAACTTGACACGGAACTTGTACAAACATGCTTGGTAAAGCAGCTGAGCATTTTTCGTTTTGTTGAGTGGGTGTAAACGGGGCTCCTATTAAGTAACACTCCCCACCTGACGTGCTTACACAGTGGGTGCGGCCGCGGGTGTGGAGGCAGCGAGCACGGGCGCCACGATGGGGAAATGTTAACTACCTTGCTCGGTATACAGGAGGTCGTGGGTTCGATCCCGAACCCGACTCCTGCTGCTGTATATTTGGAGTTTGAATGTTCTCTATCCCCGTGGTCGTGCAGATTTTTCTCCGGCTCCTCAGGGTTTGTTCACCTCCACATTTAGAATCGACGTGCGCTGAGACGTCGTACTCAGATTGTAAATGTTGTGGCTTGGCTCTCCAACACACCGGTGTGCTGTACTAGTGACGAATTGGCAAGTTCTGTTTACGTGACAACCCTTACTAGTTGGCTGTGTCGGGTGGTGGTGGGATTTAATGACAATCTTATATATTTACACGATCTAACCACCAAAAAAAACCTTTCTTATGGAAGTATTTGGCTGCTATACATTTCCACGTGCCAGGTCACTTCATTGAGTTATCATTTGTGGCCAGGTCGCTTCTGAAAAATAGCTGTATAGCTCAGTGGGCCTTATCTTGTAAAATAGAAAATATAGTTTAAATAGTTTAGTTTAGGATTGGGCGCAGGAAAGCAAGCTTCACGTTTGTGCGACGGCGGTGAGAGCCACGTGTGCACGACTCGTTGGCACCGTCTGTTGACAAATGGAATCGCTCGCAGACAGAGAGAGAGAATGGGAATTGTTCTACCGTATCAAGAAACAAGGGCACAGATTTCGATGTAAAGCTTTCGTGACTGCAGGGATTCATCTTCTTGGTTCTTTCGGTAAAGTCACGTAGAATGGAAATAATAAAATAATAAAAATAAAACATAATAAGACAGACCTGTTCTTCACCTGAGGATGGCTGCTTGCGTTGTGGCCGAAACGTCGTGAGAATTATTTTATTATGTTTTATTTTTATTATTTTATTATTTCCATTCTACGTGAATTTACCGAAAGAACCAAGAAGATGAAGGGCACAGATGTATTAAACAAGTAAACAAGTTAAATACCGTTGTCATAGTCAGGCCTGTAATTATGTGGGATATGCAAATCCTCGGTGTGATGTTATTTATTTTATTTAAGTTTATTCACCCAGGAATGCCGATGCTGCGATGTGAAAATCCCAGTTGAGTGATGAAGCATTGGGATGTTTTGCCAATACCTATTCAATGTAAGATGATGTTCTGTTTAACACCAATATTATTCACTAGAAGTGTTTTTTGGGTTAGAGCTCGTAAATATAAATGTGTCGTTAAACCCGTCGCCACCCGACACAGCCAATTAGTAAGGGTTGTCACGTAAACAGAACTTGCCAATTCGTCACTAGTACAGCACACCGGCGTGTTGGAGAGTAAACTGACAACATTTACAATTCGATTACGACGTTTCACCGGGAATTACAACCAGCCTCATCAGGCGACAGCCAGATTTCTGGATGTAGCATGTTTTGTTTACGTGACAAACCTTACCAATTGGCTGTGTCGGGTGGTGCCGGGTTGAACGACACTTTTATATTTTCGCGATGGAATAAAAAAACCCTGTTATAGATGATCTTTCTTATTTTTATTTCACATTCCAGTGCATTGTAGCGCCTCTAACTGGCTGCAGGGGTTACGTGAACTAATCAAGTACAACGTATACGAATTGAAGAAGTCGATTCTTAACATGCGGGATTTAATGTATTGTGAAAATCAGAATCGATGATCAAGAAATGCATCTTGACTTAAAGCTTTCATGACTGCAGGAATTCATCTTCTTTGGGTCTCTCGGTAAAGTCACGTAGATAGGTTCAAAGAAAATAACCTATCTACGTGACTTTACCGATAGACACAAAGAATAAGAAATGCATTGTTACACCACAATAAGCAATAATAATACAGTGGTACCTCGGTATACGACCACTTTGGAATACGTCGAATTTGGTATACGTTGTTTTTTGACGAGAAAAAAATGTCTTGGGATACGACGTCTTGCTTGGGATACGACGCACTTGCTAGAACTTGTATGGGTCGGGATGAGTCACCGCGTACCCGTGTATACCCCGTTCACGACTCCTACCGTTCCTCACCACCATCCTCGTAGGCTATCAACTCCTCTCAGCAAGGTAAAGTGACTTAAAATTTTATTTTTATTTCTATTTATTTTAATTTATTTATGCATTTACTTTAATTTATGTATGCATTTTAGTAATAAGTAGTGTCTAAAATATTTTATACAACCCCATTAATGTATAATATGCCATATAAAATATAATTTCTTATACTCTTGAACGGATTATATCCTTTCCCTTTATTTCAAATGGGAAAAAATTCGTTTGGTACACGTCATTTTCGGTATAAGTCCTACCTTCTGGAACGAATTAACGACGTATACCGAGGTACCACTGTATCAGATTGTTTACACACTAGATGGCTATGCTGGGTGACACTGTGGTCAGAATGCACTCATCACACAATCTGAATTTTTCAACTTCAAATACTGGTCAGGAGTTGACTCAACCCCGTCATCTTTCCAACTCGAACAAAAAACGTACAATTTTGTAGGATGTCAAGGATGGTCATCATAAGGACATACTTTGACCCTGCCACAGGAAAGTGGTATTCCACCATTGACTCAGAACTATTAAGAGAGATGAACACTGCCCTAATGTCCGATTGTACGTGCGGTCTTTGTTTAAATCCTGATAAAGGTGTAATTCCCTTTCAAAAGGAGGGGTTTTCGCGGTAGTGCTGTATAGATCTGCAATGTATTTTTGGGTTGTGTGGGCACGTGTTGTTCCGAGTGACGTCTTAACTTTTCGCTCCACGTGCTGGGACATTTTTCAGGAACCGAACATTCCCAGAAGCCCATGGTACGTGCAGCGAAACTTCTGACAAACACGCCGAACAATGCCCCAAAAACTGCATCGGAGGGGGGGGGGAAATGTTCTTCCGTTAAAGTGTGGAGAAGGTGATTCAACGTTCCGTCCACCAGCCCTACACAACACGGAGGGCCGTGTGTAAAATATGGCAGCGCGTTCGGTCAGTATTGGGGAGGGGGCGGGGGGGTTCAGGTCGTCGTCTTCTGTGTACACTTGGGTGCCGGAATGCACATCATCGCGCCACGCAGTAGCGCACACACGCGAGCGCGTGTGTGTGCGTGTGTGCAACTTGCACCCGGCAACCCAGGCTTAAAATACTCTCCACCACTCACATTCAAGTACCCAACGTGAATGTGCGATGTTTGCACTCGATCAATTTTGCTCAAGTATTTTTTTTTCTCTTCCGAAGCCAAGAATCAACTTTTGGCAGTGTGCCGCATCACTACATTCGGCACTTTCCCACAGCCATGCTTGTGCTTGATGCTGGCTTTCCGAGTATAGGGCAAACATACATCGAACACTAAGGATCGCAAAAAGGTGGCCAGAGTCTGGCTTTCTGAGTCTCGGGCGTTCACAATGAACCCTAAAGATTGTGTAGTAGGTGGGCTTAAGTTTGGCTCTCGGAGCCTCGGGCATTAACGCCGAAGCCTGCGAATCCCTAAAGTGTCAGTCTGGCTCCCGGTGCACCCTTGTGCATTATCAGTCAACACCAAGAATTATAAAGATGTCGTCTCGCTCTCTGAGCCTTGGGGTATTAACGGTGAACCCTGAGAATCATGTGGATGGCTTAGTCTGGCTTGCCGAGCCCCCGTGGATGAACGCTGCATTAACTCTGAATTTATCTGGCTCTCTGGGTATTATTGTATCACGTGTATGTGTGTGTGCGGTGACCTGCTCCGTGCTACGAGCCTGATGACTCGAGTTCGATTCCCGCTCATGGCCAACACCAGTGACGAGTATCTAAACCGGTCTTGGGCCTCCCCTAGGTCGACTCAGCCTAACATGAGTACCTGGTGCAGTGTGTAAACATTGCCACTGGGGAGACAAAGGTGGTCGGGCGTGGTGTTGACCACCCACACTCTCGTGTCCCGTTCTGGTCTTTATAAGTGCTCACTAACAGCACTTGCCCCAACAGTCTGTTAAGGCTATACAAGGGATCTTTGTCTTTGTTTTGACCTTCTCATATCCTCGTTTACATGCACAATCTAAATATGAAACAATTATACAAACAAAAGAGTTAGAATATTATCAACTGGAAGTCGTGACGGCATGCAATAAGTGACATCACAATAGCCTACATGCCTGCTGACTTTCTCGCACAAGGCACATAACTTATTCATAGACATGCGCAGACAAGAAAAGCACGCAGCTTTAGAGAATGTTGGGGCATTCTAGATTTGAAGTTGTCGTGACTGCCAGGATCCATACTCTTTGGTTCTTTCGGTAAAGTCACGTAGATGAAAAAATAATAATAATAAAATGAAATGAAAATAACAAAATTTGGTTAATGATAATTATAATACTCTTTGGTTCTTTCGGTAAAGTCACGTAGGTGAAAAAGAAAAATAATAATACAAATAAGAAAAATGTTATTTCTATTTTGTATTTTTATTCTTATTTTAATTTTCACCTACGTGACTTTACCGAAAGAACCAAAGAGTACTGTTGGGGCAGTTTGTGAGCACCTATGAAGGAGAGAATGGCATGCGTGTCAGTGGTGTTTCTACGCATCGTGAGTACAGAATTAACGCATCAAGGAGTATAATCTAGTGTTTCTTTTAAACATTTTGCAAAATATAACATCGATGTCAACATCAGCAGCCACGATCAATCCACTGCTGGATGAAGGCCTCCCATAAGCCTTTGCCATCTCTCACGATCCTGCTATGTAATAAACTAACATTTATATTTTTAAAAAATTACCAGGTAATTTGGACACACCTTTAATAACGTACCGGTTTCCAAAGACTTTATTTGAGTATTATTATTACTTTATCAGAAAATGATCAATTTACTATTGCTGCATTCTTGAGAGTGATTTTATTACGTCTTGGGGCCAAAATGTTTCCTGTAAGAACGTGCCTCCAATGAATTAATGGAAGTCAATTGGAAAGCGGAGCTCCATAAATGGAATTTTGCTTCATGGACAACTTTTCAGGAACGTATCGGTTCCGTATATCAAGAAATGCCGGTATTACTTTCTTCCTAAAATATGCTCAGTTTTAAAACGAGTAACATCAAATTAAGCCAGTTAAGAGGCATATAAAATGTACTTCTGATTTATACTGCTGGAGACATCATTCCAAAATTGCAGACACAATCCAGAACCTCAACTACCTAATGTGGGTTCACCACAACCATTAAAGATATCGCGGTTTAAGAAACACGTGACACATTGACATCTGCAGGGACAGACACACTGAACGGACAGACTCGCAGTGATAAAAGCCCTCCAGCAATTCTTGTAAAGGGATTGGAAAAAATATATTATAAAAACATTGTATAAGGCGTGTGTGTAATTCCTTACATATGTGCAGCTTCATAATGCCTCCAAAATCCATTATGAGTTTCAGCTTTAACGAAGAAGTTGCATTAAGTTAAGCTGTATATAACAATGCATATAGCTCATATCGATTCTAAATTATGCACGATAAATGCATTGAAACCCACGTGTAAGAATCAATGTTTTTCCACTCGTGTACGTTATATGTAATGGATGGGTGGTGGAGAGTGGTTGCGTAGTTGAAGCATCTGTCTAATAGCCTCTCAAATGTAATGTACAGACACCTGTATATACATTTGGTCCCAGAGGATCCCGTCCTACATCATTTTGATGTACCCCCCAACAATGGAAGCAGTCATGAAAGCAATCGGCTCCTCAAAACAATGGAAATGAGCTGATACTGCTAGCTTATTTCCCATGCTTGTACACAGTTGTATTTACTACAATTAGTGTCCTATCAGCATATTGTGTACATCCCATCGACTACTTCATAAAAGCCTCGGAATGTCACGTTGGTCATTGGGGTTATCTAAACCATACTTCACCAGATTGGTCAGTTAGGGTTAGGGTTGGTGACATCATGGGATGCTCAGAACCAGTTCAGATGTCTCCTTGCCGCATGTTTCCCGTAACCGGGATTCGAATCCTGATGGACCGTTCTATAACGCCGTGCGCCAACCTTTGCATCATTTTAATGAACTATAAATAATTTGTTCTCAGAGCCATAATTCTATGCATGCATCGTGAGTGCAATAATCGATCTCAATCGATGAATCGATGCTTCGTTTCATGCCTTCCACCTCGGTAATAACACTGCTGGACATTACCGGACGGGCATGAGGTGGAGATTAAAGACCCCGGAAAATTGTGCGCAAGAGGGGACCATCATGTAACCATCTGCCAGCCAATGTGACGGACCGATATAATAATAGTAAATTATTGTCCAAAGACGTAGGGCAAACATTGCAATACAATGCACAGTGTGGTTCGGCAATGGAACGGTTAATTGAAAAGGTGTGCACAGCGTGCGCGCGAGTAGCGTTTAGGCACGAAAGGAAAACACCGTCAAGATGGAAAAGGAACTCACGCAGTGGGTGGCTGTGATGGTAACTGAACTGGAAATGAAGGTCAGGCCATCGTTCATGCTCACTTGGAGGAAAACCTGCCTGGAGGGAAAAAAACAACAGACAGAAGACAATTAGGCACTTGGAGAACAGCGACATATTATTATTTTTCTGTCACTCAATTCAAGAAAGAAAAAAATACATTTCAGTGTTTACCATTAACGAACCCACCTGTGCGGTATTCTACCGAAGGGGGAGAAAAAAAATCCATTTTAGGTTATTCAATTGTGGCAGGAGTTAATTTGTTTCTCTTGAATGGGAATACCTAGAATCAGGGAGGGGTTTTTTTCAGCTAAAAAGTCTTGCATGTTGGTACAGACACAAAGGCCCTATCTCTAAGAAAGCTGATAAGGCTTGTACTCCAATCCTCTGTAATAACACAGACCAAAAGTTCTACCATGGCTGCTTTGCTGAATGCTTCCCACAATTCTCACTAAACCCTGCGTTTTATATTGTTACATTTTATTCCACGCTCTCTTTGCAGTTATGTCACAACATCACACTCAAGGGATTACGTTTGATAGGATAATTTTACATTGTCAGAAGTTGAGTAAAAGCACACCCCAATTGGGAGCAGGTCCATGGTATGAGCGCCCTTCGTATTTGCCCCAACCAGTGTAACATAGCCATGTGTTGCTTCTATCAGAACTACGCTTTAACTAAAATATAAAAAAAAACATTCATCAAAACTGCTTTTAAATTATTAAAATATAAAAACGACGTTTCAGGTAATGCCCCTTCTTAAATCGCACAAACGTCACCGATGAAACAAACAAAGTATATATATTTTAAGGCCACCGTGTTGTTGACGAGTGTCACGTTTTTTGTTCATTTTGCTTGTGCACCGCTGCTAACGGAGCAGCAGCAGAAGCATCAAATAGTTTGTGCTCGTGTAAGATGCCCTTATATTGAGCTCCTAACTGCAATGCGGAAATTCTGCTCGCAAAGAATGGCCATCTTTTACGGTCATTGACAAAATGTTCAGGAGCAAGTCGTGAGTTACGGTTTGAATACATGGATACGTGGTACGGCGATCTAAATAAACTTAACGTTTATAAAAGGCAGGGCAAGAATGCAATCGGGAATTTTTTATGTCACGGAGACAGATTGTTCCTTTTTTTCTCCCTCTCGGTGACAGAGTCGGTTTTTATGTTAACTTTAAAATTCACTGTTATTTACCATGCAAGACAGCGAATATATAGGGAAACAATTGAACATTATGATTTGACTAAATGTATGCCTTCACATAGTTGATAAAACATCAATTGTACACATTGTTCATTATCATAAGACATCTGGCAGCGTACAAAAGTAGGCTAAAACCCCTCCAGAGCTTTCTCTCATAGAGGCCCTTTTGCTAATAATTGCAGGGCTGCACATGCACATCTTCTGATAAGAGCAGCAGCTCTCCGAGATTCACATTCAGGAAACGCAACCTCTCAGTGGTTTCTGTTCAGGCAACAAGCAAGCCACCTGCAAACCCGCGAGCCTCTCAACGACACTGGCTCGCAGGGGCAACGTTCCACCGGATTATTGTCACGGGGCCATTCATGGAAAGTTTGCCCTGCGTGTTACTTAGCAAACACAGCGGAGCCGTTAGCTCACGACGCCGGACAGAGTTGCACAAAGGACCACTCACTCTCCTGTGTCTTGCAAGGTCGGCGCGGGACACAAGAGGTAGCTGTCTTGTAGCTCCAGGGGCTTTTCCGCTGGAAAGAGAGGATGAGAAGAGGAGGACACACAGACGTCCACTCGAAACTACCTCGGGCATGCTGTTTTTCTTGGTACAAGCCACGGTGCTTGAATAAACATATGGTGGTGCCGAGCGGCAATGCGCTGCGAGCCTAGCAAGGTGCGTTCATTCTCCCCCCCCCCTGCTCCCCCCCCCCGTAGCCTCCTACTTCAGAAACCCGCGCAGATGACCAGCGTGGTGAAGTATGGTCAAAAAGGCCCACCAAGACCGAAACACATGCGGAGAGGCCAAATTTAATACCGCGGCCAAAGTTATGATTCATAATAGATATTTTGTTGGGTCAGATAGCGCCATTAAAATGTGCGTCATACACCATGCCTGATGATGCTGGTTGCAATTACCAGAAAAACGTCAAACGACCAAATTCTTCAATGTGTGTGGATCATTCAACATTGCCGGTGTGCTGAAGTGCCAATAACCAAGAGATTAACGTATTAAATGGCCGTCTCGGATGGAGGAGGGTTGAACAACAAACATTTGAATTATGTGAACCGATCCGACCCAAAAGTCCATTATGAATCATTGGGGAGGCCATTGATGAACAATGAATGAAAATTATTTCATTGACAGTCTAGGAAAATGAAATATTGTAGGGTTAGGGTACAAGGTGGTCAGGACATGGCAGTAGAGAGAAGGATTGTTGAATCGGTCTGTGTAGAACTTTGAAAGTTGCTGTACGTGTGTTGAACTTCCCACAGTACGTAGCCAACCATGCTAATCAGAGCAGTATGGGTTTTCTCCGAGTACTCTCCAGCTTACTCCACCATTGTAAATACTCGCGAATGATATTGGCCAACCATCGTGATTGGAGGAACCTCGTGACAATGATGACGCACACGGAGAACACCAAGTGCTTTATAATTCAACGGGACGGGAGTGCTGTTAACCAGGCACCCTGCAAAAGGCCGCTGCGTCACACACGGGGGCAGTGTGGCCAGCACCACACCCGGCCCCCTTTCTCTACCCCGGTGATCGCATTCAAACAGTTCCTATGATCACCGTTACAATGCCTTTATGGATTTATTATGGTGATTTAGAAAAGTTTTTTGGTTTGGCCATGTTTGTTTGTTGTAGTACAGAGTTAGACTGATGGCTTTAATCTAAGTTGTCTTGTGGTTGTTGTTGTTAAGACTTGCATCCCACTGGGATTTTTGCACACAGCGTTGGTGTACGGTTCTTTTTATGGAACATTTTGCTGTTTTTTCCTGGATTTTTCTGCTTGCGCATAGTCACTTTAAGATGTTTTCTTGTTCATGTTTTTGTTTTTTTGTTTGTTGCGGTTGCACCCGATTCAAAAGCCGAATAGCTCACAGGGCTATACCAAATAAATGAAACTGAAAACATTATTGCATAAAAGCGTTTCAACCTAGGCGAGGACCCACAAGATAATCCATCATAGATTTTTTTTGGGTTAGATCGCGTAAATATAAACGTGTCGTAAACGTGACAAACCTTACTAATTGGCTGTGTCGGGTGGTGGCGGGTTTAACGACGCATTTATATTTACACGATATAACCCAAAAAAAACCCTTTCTATTGTGGATAATATTGGTCATGAAAACCGATGTGTTAAACTGGCCCCAGATAAGTTGGGATACCACTTGCCACTGACATTGTCAAGGCTGGGAATCGATTTAGGATCGCTGGGATCAGAGCACAGTGCGCTGACCACTATACTTCCACTACAAGGCTGAGAGTACCCACTCTTTACCCCGCCACACATGATCTACGAAATCAACTGACTGTGGCATACCCATTTATGCTGATGGGTGGACAGAGGTGGGTGGGGTGTTTAAGAAACTTACACCATTGTTTCAATTGTGGTACCAGGAGATAGAATCCGGTGACCTCTTAATTGCAAGTCCAGTGTACTGCTGACAGTTACGGCACGTCAGCATCCCTCGTCCTATGCAATGTGACCAAAATCCAAAACAATTGTACACAGTTTGCAAAAAAAAGGTTCGGCCATTTCATTTGTATGAATTTAGAAATGTGCGTTCTCGAGTAATTGGCTGCTATAAATTTCGACGTGATGAGTAACTTTGTCGGGCCAGGTCACGTCTGAAAAAGAGCAATATAGATCAGTGGGCCTTACCTGGTAAAATAAAAAAAGTTTAGTTTTATTTTAAGAGAATGAATGCAAAGTTCAGTCAGCCTTCTAACATTAATGTGTAAGTGTACAAATGTTTTTTTTCCCTTGCTTGGCAAATTACCAAACAATAAGTTCCATAAAGCAATGCGTTTGATGAAATATGAATTGCATTTATACTGTAAAAAAATAGTGTCAAATTTTGTGACATCGTTTTCAAAGCAAAGACTCAGGGTTCAAATAAGAACGTACTGAAATGCGCACACAAACTAAAAATACTACTTTTTGTTAAACATTGTCATGGGATACACCGCAGGATGTCCTGTCAAATGCAGGCAACGCCAGCATTTCGAACACAATGCATCTCTCCGATGTGTTTTGTCGTGGTACATCGCTGTGTCATTCGGCACGATGCCCTTCATTTAACCCTCCGCGTGCCGGAAATGCAGTCTCCGAAGAAGCCTCCTCGCGCAGCCAAACGTTGGGGATGTGAATGTCGAACGACGCGCGGTACCACCCCACGAAAGACCACCGTCCGAGAGCGACACCGCACAACCGCGATAGCCCGCGTGGTAGCGTTAAGTTCGGTTTGGGCGATTTTAGCTTCCAAGCAAATTCCGCCGTGCGCTCGTTTGCCAAAACGCTCTGGCGAGGGCACGAGCGTCAGAAGTCGGCGATGCCGAATAAGTCAAGAGCCGCTTGGAGCTTGCGGGTGGCGGCAGGGGGGCGACGGTGGGCAAGCCCAATCGTATCCCGAGCCGGGAGAAAACAAACACGTGGTTGCTCCTTGCCAACTCGACACTGCTGCAGCTTTCCCAAGTCACCACCTCGGGCCACTTTTCCCAGCCACTGTTCCCCTCCCCCCCCGTTTTAAGCTTACGTATTGGGCCGCCGCTTTTTTTTCTTGTCAACTGTTTTTCACACGTTGCAGAATGAGGCAACGGCTGTGCCAGGCCGCATAGACAAGCCTCCGTTTGTGCGTCTCTTGGCAGCGACTCGGCGTTCGGTTCATCTGGGTTCTGGTCGCGGAGCCGGGCTTCCCTCAGCCCCCTCGGAATTTATCCGCGACGCGTCGGGCGGGCGCGTTAGAAGCCTTGCGGCGTCTGCGAGCGGAGCGGCCGTCGCCCCCGGGGCTAATTTGTGCGAGCGACTCCCTTTGTGGGCGAGAACAATTCCCGGCCGCGCAGCAATCGCGGGCCCTTAAATCCTCGCGACACGCATTCGCATCATCGCCTTAGTTTTGCCTGCCCGAAGCCAAGGCATTTCCACTTAATTCGGCGAAGACCGAATGCCCTTTTCATTACATCGTTGTTAGTTTGGGCGGTTAATAGGGTTCCTTGATTTACTTCACTCCAAAAGCTTCCGAAAGGATTCAGAAGAGCAAAAGCCTTGGGACAAATGAACGCATTACGAAACGTCAAAACAGCGCCAGGACATTTTAAAAGTTGCTACGTGTGGGCGGGCGTGTGTTTGCGTGCGTGTCTCTTAAAGTACATTATTAAACACTACTTCTTTTCATTCCCCCCCGCCCCCTCCCCATGGTTATATAACGTGCAGCGTGGAAAAATCGACCGAATACCCTCTATCGGGGCTCCCTCGACATCCACCTAGATACGCAGCCTTAGGTGAGACAAAACACGCGATTTTTAAACTGACCACCGGCTGACAGGCATCACATGAAAGCTCTTTCCGCTGCCTCCACATGCTTACTAATTAGCTCTCCTACTCTGTCCACCTCCTCCCTAAACTAGGACCCAACTATTTACAGGACACAACAACAATTAGAGCACCCTGCCGCTCCAGCTGTACAGCGCTAAAAAGAAAAGAACACCCCTGCTGCTGTTTCCTTCCCTCCCCCGGGGTGGGCCAGCCAGGCGCAAACATCGGAGCGACGCTTCACCTTTGCCCTCTCGACGAGCGAAGCGATTCTCTTGTCCCCTCGGCTACGCTTCACATAAACGCGCGGCGCGGTATCTCTCGGGTGAGGTGCTTGCGGAATATCTGCCGCACACGAAGGTTTGCGTCCCGAGCACACATAGCGCACCAGATGCATTGGGGAAACGTCGAGAGCCGCCCCTCTGTGCGCCCAGCACGCGGCACGAGGCCCGACCCGAAAGCACATCGGAAATACATCATTTAGTAACGCATTACGCGATCATAAAAATAACTTTAACAATTTAACTTGGAACTTACCGGGCAGTATTTCGCTCACCTCTCCCCGCGGAGGGAACGACTCAGTAGGCGCGCGAGGAGGAACCGCAGACAAACAGGAAGGCGCGAGCCCAAGCTTCGTAGTCCTCGTATTAGACAAATTAAGGTGTTTTCGGCCAATTATACACAATGTGTGGATAAATAGCTGAAGCCACAACAATGACAGTTATGAACTCGTAGTTTTATCACTTCCGAAACTACAGTGCGTGGGCATTTCACTTGAGGACAGAGTGCAGTGAAGTTCATTTGTTGAACCGGGTGAGAACTCACTGACCCCTCAGGTTAACCGGGTCAAGCTCACTTCTCCCATGTGTTTCGGGTTGTAACCGCCTGTTGTTCGGCACGATGTCCGATATTTTATTCCAATTTGTTCTGTTTGAAGCTTAGGAATCTGCTTCAACTTGGAAGCAAAACGTCGGACACCGTGCACACCACGCCGCGCATCCCAAAAACACTCGGGAGAACGGCATGGCACAAACCCCCGAAAACCTACGCAGCAGCGAGAGTCGAACTCCGTGCTACCTCGGGTTCAGCCAGTGACAGAGCTGCAAGAGTGGGCAGAGAGTTGAACGGAGGCACAAAATGCATTCGTGTTTTCCGACGACAACCGTCGCTGGGAGAGAGCTGTGGTTACCGTTGATCCCGCCGCGCGTATTCAAGCGCAAAGAGAGGACGCGGTTTTAGGGTTACGTGAGCGTGGCTGCGGTGATCTGGTCAACGATCAGGTGGCGCGTCCACTTACTGATGGTGACCGAGTCGTTAATCTTGAAGCTGCACAGGACCTGCTCCGTGTTCCTCGAGTGGGAAAATCCATTGCCCCTGACGACCACTTGGAACGACTCTGGGAAGGGCAGCAGAGACGGGCGTACACTTGAGAATGCATCATCACACATGAACTGCAACACTTCGCTGATCTCGTCAAGGAGCACAAACCACCACTCGAACTCCGATCACCCTCCCTCGCAGCAGCGGGCTCTTGGCTAGCCATCGAACAGAGACGGTGAATACATCGCGCGCTGTCAGATGCGCTTCTGCGGCCGTCTGGGACGCTCTTCCTTCCAATATTAGGAAGCCAATGCTTTTTACATAAAGTTTTTTGACCTTCCCACGGACCTCTGTTTAGCTCAGTTGGCTATGTATGGTGGGAATGAAGTTCAACATGCAGGCTGAGCTCACAGTGACAGAGCAATCACGTATTGCCCTTTAGTCAATAATAAACAATGCCCAGAAAGGCCTTGCCGAGCCTCAAGACACATTTTAACGAGGGTCTTGCATCATTAGGATGCTTGGCCAACTGGAGTGAACAGAGAAAACTCCCACAAATACTCAAAACACCGCACAGATAGATTCAAAATCCTTTTGCAGTACCGTCATCTCCTGGCCACCTCGCAGCTCAAGCCCATTACACCTGGCAGTCACAGGGCAGCCAAGTACAATAAATGAGGAAGGCCTCCCCATGATGTTTCGGTATTGGGAGGCTTTTTGACCACACCTCACCGCGCTAGCCAGCGCAGCTCGGTGAAGTTGGGGGAAGGTAGGGGGGCACAGGGGACCCGTCCGGAGAGATATCAATCGCCACTGACGTTAGCCGTGGCCAGCAATGGAACTCGGCTTGCTGGGTTCTCAGCAGCGCTGTTTTGTAAACCGTACGTAGCCTCGTGTCGAGAGGTGCGCGGCACGTAAACAAATACAAACTCACAAAAATTATACGTCCAGATTTTTTGGGTTCTTTTTTTTAAAGCACCCACTGGAATGCACGGAGACTATAAATATGTCGCTTCAAGACAGTTTCTATGAATTGCACGTGGCAAGACTGAGTGCAGGGTGTGTTTTACAGGTGTTTAGGGTTATGAAATCGTAGCTGGGTGAGATACTTCTGAAGAGAACGTTTTTAATTTTAGAAATATTATTAGTATTTTAAACTTTCAGGGAAAAAAACCCCTTAAATCTGCACTCCGTTCTTTTTTAATAACATTTTGCTGGTTGTGCAACCCCATAATCCAGCTCTTTAGAATGAGAGGTTTGTGAATCACGCAGGGATTATCATGCGCTGTGAGACACAAAGCCCTCATCCAGCAGTGGATTGACAATAAACTGTACATGCACATACGTGAGACTCCCAGCTCACAGGTCTACGATGTGGACACTGGTTAGCAGTACAGCAAGTAGGTTTCCGACCTGTCAGATGTTTGAGTGCGCTTCCCTCATATGGTAACTCTTACATTCTCCAAAAAGGAAAACCAGACTCCTCAAAATGGAATCGGCCAAACATCTGAAAAACAAGGTTTGACCTGAATTTTTTTTTTAAACTTGGCAAGGCATTTGTCTAAAACATATAGAGAACTTATGATCACATTGCATTGCCAGTTTATTGAGTGCACATAGACGCGCAGGTCAAAGATATCACGCAAACTGTTAAGAAACGTAAGTGTGGCTCTGGGAATGGGATAATGATGGCTCACGTTCAAGAATAATAATTAGGGAATAGAACGCGCCCGAGAGTACGGCCATCGAAAGGGTGGAGCAATGAGATCTGCTCGTGTGTAGGCGCTCGATGGGTTGTTACATCGCAGGGTTGTGAGAAAAACGACGGCGCAGGGAGGCCTTCATCCATCAGAAGGCTTAAACAACTAAAACTAATAAACTATTTTTATTTTTACCAGGTAAGGCACACTGAGCTATATAGCTCTTTTTCAGAAGAGACCATGCTATTTCAAATGATAGCTAAACAAAGTGGCTTAGCAAGTGGAAATGTAGAGCAACCAAATACTCTTAAACGCATTATTCTAAATGTGAAGAGAAAAGCCGGAGGACTGAGAGAAAAAATGCGACTTCGAGGAGAGAGACATGCAAACTCTAAATCTACAGCAGCAGGCGTCAGGGTCGGGATCGAACCCACGACCTCATGCATACCAGGCGAGGTAATTAACATCTCACCACCGTGGCGCCTCAATGACTGATCATGGCCGACGTGCAAAAATTCACAAGACTCGCATGTAACAGAAGTTGGATCTTTCAAAGCTGAGTGTGCATGTGTGGGTAAACTAATGCAGCTGACCACTTGATACAATGCAGGGAGGTAGAGGCATGTGCTGAAAGTCTCTATGCTCTCTCATAGCATGAATCAGAGCACAAAACAGCTGTGCACTGGCTCCATCTTCAATCAATTGCAAGCTATGCAGCAGGGCTATAAGCTGTCTGCGGTCAGCTTAAGTCTCCCTATTATTGCACGTTCGTGTGTTCCCCAACACTCCCCACTTAAGGAGCTCACATTTTTCACAGTTGTTTTTGGCAAATGAGTCACTGAAGCAATGGCACAACACAAAACGCACGTAACTGTATTTGTACGGACGCGCCACTTATAAGCGTCGATGGCCGATGGCCGAGACTGATGACAGAATGGCAGCCAAAGGAGGGAACGAGGCCCGAGTGGAAGACCACCGTGGAGATGAAGCGATGAGATCACCCCAGGGGTCGGTGGGGGGGGGGCGAGTTCTGCCCCTAAGACAAAGATCCCACACCTACCCGACACAGACCGTTGGGGAAAAGTGGTGTCAGCGAGCATCTACGTGAAGGCCGGAACGGCATGCAAGAGAGGTGGTGGCGTGGCCGGTGTGGTGGGGAGGGGGAGGGCTCCTTGCCTGGCCGCCTTTGTCTGCCCAATGCTGATGTTTTACACATCGCACCGGTTGCTCACTCAGGACGATTTGACTGGACCGCAGGAAGGCCCAGGGACCGGTTCAGATAGCACTCGCCGCTTGCCATGGCCGGGAATAAAACTCAGGCCGCAGGGCTCATAGCGCAGCGGTGCGGGAACCTCTGTCATTGCTCGACCTACAAAGGCAAAGATCCCCCATATAGCCTCAAGAGGCTTTTGGGGCAAGTGCTGTTAAGGGGCACCAACGAAGGCCGGCACGGCACACGAGGGGGTGCGTGGCCAGCACCACGCCCGGCGGCCTTTGTCTCCCTCTTGGCGATGTTTACACTCTGCACTAGGCTGAGTCGACCTAAGGGAGGCCCAGGATTGGTTTAGATCGTCTCTGGTGATGGCCACGAGGGGAAATCGAACTCGGCCCACCGGGTTCATAGCGTATCGCACTACTATGCTCCTGCTCCCCATATCCTGACTACGTTTTTGTTTGTTTGTTTGTTGTTGTGTATGTTATTGTTGTCCTTTCCCACACCTCCGATTCACACGGTTGGCTACGTACGGTATGAAAGAAGTTCAACATACATACGACAGCAGAAGCATACACAATGATAGACGCACTGGAGTACAGTAGACAACACATGACACATCGCGAAGACGTTCTCATGTTTAGCTCTGTAGGAGTCGGGGGGGGGGGGGGTGCTGACGACTTCAAAACTGTCCAACGAAGACGTCACCGTTCCTTATATTTATTCCAGCGCTCAGCACCAAGCTCTCCACTGTGCACACCGACACACGTGTTGATCCAGGTGGCCCAAACCAAGTCCATTAGCACGCACGAGAGCACGCCATCTCTCCCTCTCTCCTCTTCCGTCCAAACGCAACAGCAACCCGCCGCTAGCGCGAGAGGGCCACGGGACCAGCATTAGCCACGGGCCGCAAGGGTTAAAAAAAAATTAATGTTTTAAAAAACGTTTTTAAAACACGCTTTTATGAAATGTACTAGTAATGGCAGAACTCCACGACTCCAGGAGGTGGCCCCGAAGCTTGCCACAACGTAAGGGACCATGGTGATTTACAGCCAACGTCAGTTGAGCGTGGACAATTAGACCCAAGCCGAAACATAACATAAAGAAAATAATTTTTAACATTTTTTTTATGATAGAATATAGTATTGTCATCAGTATGACATAAGTATACCAAGTTTGCAGTCGATACCACGTTGGGAAGTGGGTTAAAATTGAGTTACACGATTTGAGGATACGACAACAACAGACAGAGTGAGTCAATAAAAAGCGTGTAATAAAATAAAATAAAAGTTGCGCGACAGCGTGGCGCACCTCTGCGTTCAGGAACCGATTTCTCTGCGCCATGCACCCCGGCCACTCGACTGAACGCAACAATCACCCCCCCCCCCGTCCGCCACCAGGTTCCATCTGCGAGCCTGGGGGGTAACCGACCCGGCAGAGGTCGCAAACGGGTTTTGATTCCCTACCCGTACCCGTACCCTACCCGAAATGAGTGACAAACGGTTACTCACCAGTGACTCACGGTCTACCCGTACGCGTACCCGGCCGCACCAGGGTCGCAAATGGGTACCCGTACCCGGCCGGGTACGGGTAGCCGGGTATCGGGTAGGGTACGGGTGTCGGGTACCCGGTTGCGACCTCTGCGACCCGAGGGTTTAAAACAGAGTCCGGCTCTGCACGGGGACTGGGCAATCCAATTGCCGCTGCCACCGCCACCATCATCAGGCAACTTTGTTGCGGGGGGGGGGGGGGGGGGGGGACTACCGCAGATGAGGCACAGGCTGCCGAACGAGCCCAGGCGTGTAATCCATCAGTGCCCCCCTATTTAACCAGACGAGAACACCCCCCCCCCCACCTCCAGGGTTAATATAATGTGTAAGGATTTTCGGTAAAAAGGCTCATGTAGCAGAGGTTCTTTTTTTTATGGTAATCATTCTCAGCAGCAGTTGTTCTGCAAAAGGTGTGGTTCCTGCCACAGTAATGTGGAATTTCCTCCCACTTGGCTCAGAACCACCAATAAAAAAGAGCACCGTCCTTGGCAGATGTCGATGTAACAAACACTAACCGACAATCGGCAGTTTAGAGAGCAGCAGCAGCAGCAACAGGACCATGAGGTAAACATACGGCAGTGTCATTCTTGTTGGGAATTCAGGGCAGTAGAGG